GGGGGGGGGGGTGTCGATCTCTTAATTCTTATTAGCGGGAACCTTATTACGGGGAAGGGAGGGAATATACTACGGTCGTCTCCTGAGGAATTGTACATCCAATATTGTCTCTAATTCTACCCTGTGTCTAAAAAGCACACACCACAAGAATCCAAACACCACGAGAACAAGACAGACAGTCTCCGAATGCAACAGAAAACTTCAGGAAAAAGCACGGCAAACATGGAACATTGAGAAGCTGAACTACGTTTCTTTTGTTTGTTAGGGTTACAATTTTTAATTACATCTGTGTACATAGAATAAGACTGTTCACACAGTACAGGGAGCAGCTACTAACACTGGTCCATTGGTCTAGCGTCTGATGGAGGTTACTGTTTCAGCGACTGTAGGTGTCGGGGGCGTCTAGTCGGTTTCTTCCTTCGATGACACCTCTTCCCAGTCTGGAACCTGACTTTCTGGCTGTGACAATATTATCGGTGGAAAAGCAGACACATCGGCTTAGCTCTTGGCAAAAACTGCAGATTTGTTTCAACAGGCATTCCTCGAGGAATCAACTCAGACCGATAGGTTTGCGAATTTGGTCAAGCATCTGTCGTCTCCTATGGGTTTTTCCGTCGCCGTCGAGGATGGTGATGTTCAAATTCGGGCGTTCGCCTTATTGCCTCGTGGGTGAGCCCTGGCTCGCGGCTCCTTCCAGGACGGGGTCGGGGCCTTGCCAACGGGCAGGAGCTCGTTCCCGGCCTTGCCGCAGCTGGCAGGCCTATGGCCAAGGCGCCGCCCAGGCACAGGGGCGCCCTTCTGAGAAATCCCGGGGAGCCGGATCCCGCGGGCAGTGCCGGCGCAGGCGACCGCCCGGAGTCACCGCAGGGCCGGGGCACAGGTAGGTGAGCTGGAGCTCGCGCTGAGAAATCGATGTTTGGGACCAGACTGGCACACGACATAAATTGCATCCGTGATAATATGCACCTTCCCCTTCGGCTATTGCTTGAGTACGTTAAATTCCCATATTCCTAATAAATGGCTGAAAAGTGGTAAAGCTGGTACCCAAAAAAAAAAAAAAAAAAAAAAAAAAAAAATNTATGCACCTTCCCCTTCGGCTATTGCTTGAGTACGTTAAATTCCCATATTCCTAATAAATGGCTGAAAAGTGGTAAAGCTGGTACCCAAAAAAAAAAAAAAAAATTAAAAAAAAATCTCCATTTGTAAGAAGAAACAAAATGTGTGTGTGTGTGTTTTTGTGTGTTTTTTTTTTGTGTGTGTTTTTTTTTTTTTTAAATCTTCAAGATTTCATGTGTCCTTCATCACTGTCCGTCCCTGTTTGGAGCCAGCACACCAACTGCAGTGTTCTTATTTCTCTTTAGTATTGCATGAATGAATAAAGCTTAAGCTATTCCCTGAAAAGGTTATGCGCGTCGCAGCTAAACTAACAAATACCTGGAAGACTTGAAAAAACAATTAAGGAATCAAACGGCTGGAACTGATCTGGATGGAAAAGCAACGATGAGACGCAGCCGAGGCAAAGTTGCTCAA